TTGGAACACTTCTAGAAATACATCGCACCTATCCTATGTGTATTTGCTACAGTATTATACAAGCTACAACAAAAAGAAAACGGCATCGAATTTCCCTTGTTTTTGAATTAAAATATTATAAAATATGACATATTTTTGAGTGACATTAATAAAATGACATATTCACACACATTTCTCATTTTATAAGTTATAAGATGCGGCAGCGCTTAAGTCGTGATAAAAATCTGAATACAGATTAAAGTTACGCTTGAATTAAGTTTAACTTTGTTCATCTTATTTCATCTGGAATGTTATATCTGTTTGCGGTTTCGCGTGAGATGATATCTCGACCCGAATTAACTTCCGTAAATACGCATACACGCCTTCGAATCACGCAAAACCACCAACAAAACACCTGCTACGAATCATTGAGAAAATATATTTTATTTATTTATTATCTTTCCCTACTAATTTGAGTGACGCAAAATTAAAAAACGTTCATATTTTTCTTGGAAATACATATTTATTATGAATGTTTTATTGTTTCATATTTTAAATACTGTGTTTATTAATCAATGAATTCATTTTACCTTTCTATGTCGTTTACTTTTCGTTGCTTGGTATCTGCCTCTATTGTTACGTAATTGTTACTTAGCGATAGAGGTAGACACTAATTTTTGCAATTTTATGAGTTGCAGTTTCTTTATCTGCTAAAGGGGTCTCCAACACGCGGCCCGCCAGCCAATTTTTGGCGGCCCGCGTCATGGTTGGGATTTTTCCACAAAAAAACTAAAATAGTACGATGTCAACTATTAGTAGGTTTTATTGTGTCAATTATCATCAAAAGTCCGGTCCAACAAATTGTAAAAAGTGAAGCAAAATTCCCCCCTGTTGTCCACGTTCATGTTTTATTTTATTGTTATAATGCAATTTTAAATGCGATAATTTCATTTCGCATGTTCATTATAACGAAATAGACGAGTTTCGGTCAGTCAATCGTGCCCAAATAAAGGTTTGCAAAGCTAATTGCACATACCTGTGATTTTTGACAGTTCTTATATTTGCGAGCAGTTTTTTCGACTATGAAAGTTACCAAATCAGCCCTCCGCACACGACTAACGGACGAGCATAATTATGCATGTTGTCTTAAGACTAGCACACCAACGCAAAATAAGGCCAAACATCGAGACCACATATCCAGCACAAGTGAATGAATATGCTTCATGTCTCGTTTGCTGTAAGATTCAAGTGTAATTTCAACACATTCAGATACCCATTTTTGCACTTAATTTCTTGGTTTGCGGCCGCGTGGTCAATACATGTTTTGAGTTGGAGACCCCTGTGCTAAACCGAGTTTAGCAAACAGGGGTAATTTTTTTAGAATTTTGAAGAAAAAATTCAGGCAAAGATGAGCAAGAAGAGTTGACATTGCTTTCACTATTTAGGCCTACATGTTTACAAACTTAAATAAAGTATAAAGTACACATTAACGATCACAAAATGAGTTTTATTCAATTAAAAGCAGCATTTTTTGTGCAAGTGCGCCGTGAGTATTTTTCTGATAATTGGCGCCGCACGAAGAAAAGTCTGGGAACCGCTGACATCGAAAATAAACTGGTGTAAGCTAAACGATGTATATATCTTGTACGCGAATATACCTTGTAGCAATCATGCACTTTATATAGATGCTAAGTTTTTTTATAATTTTATTGGTAATAGTAGTGAGAATCTGTCAAGTAATTTTGTTATTGATTTGAGCAAGAGGCCATGTTTTTATTGGCTCGGTTGGATGAATATACAAAGGATATCACGCACCCACTTCCACCTTCTTCTTTAAACACAAACACTCCTTCACATCACGCACATGTGCTGCCATTGAGGCATGAAGTCCCACAAAATATTCCAAAATTCCAAACCTGAATTTTCATGAATATAGTGGGCTGAATTAAATATAGAACATTTCTAGTTAATTAAATAGATAATCGCAGCTCATCAAAATTGATTTAATCCGTCGTTTCAATTTTGAACCGATTCCAGAGTTTCAGATGCATTTTTATACTATGGATTGTTGGGTGCCATGAGTGCGAATTCTGAAAGATAATAGCGTCGGTTTTATGCAGAGACATTCTACTTGTCGGGCAGGAGAGATTGTAGTTTGGGTACAATGTATAAATAACCGCACAAGTAGAGTAAATGCTTCGTATAGAATTCCAGACATAACATACCGCTCGATCGACATCGCTATTATGAAGCGCGAAAAGTATGAGAAATGCAAACAACTGTGCTCTGCTCGGCTGACTGAAATGTGTTCATGTATGAATCAGCCAACTTAACCGGTGTTACGGCTAATTGAATGGGTAAGGGGATATGACGTATAACGGTAAACTGTCCTTACGATATTATTCTGTGACAATATGTTATTTATTTCAAGACTGAACGCTCATTCTGATTTGAATGTCTTTTCTTTCCCACGTATGATTCATCAATGCTATGACAGGAATTTCGCTCATTTATTAATGCTATCAACGTTGTTGACCAAATAGCATTCAAGCATTGCTTGGATCGCATGTTGTAATATAGAACTGTCAAAACTATTTTGGGTCCAAATGAATCACGGCATATTAGTCACTGCGAAAGATAATAGTATGGTGGCCTTATAATATAGGCGACGTTCCGGGTTATCCAAGCACATTGTAGCGCTGAAGATATTTTAAAATTATAGTACGTTTTCCCTAGATGATACAGTTTTTATTACTACTTCACATTTTGCTTGAACATGTCAAAAATGACTATTATGAACACTTTGAAGTCGAGATACTTCTTGAGACATTTTTTTGCAGTCGCGGTTTGAATATCCAGTAGCACACGAATTTGCTTCGTGATTTCTATACGCACCAAGGAAATAAAACGTATCAGTAGTAAAAGACTACTAATAATTTGGCGATGTACACCATTTACGTATGGAATTCTAAAATTAAATTTTAGTGGCTCAAAATTGTCTTGAACCTATAACATTCGATATAATTTGTAGTAAAAACATCATAGCAATATAGTCTACTTAACGTTAGGCTCTGGTGTTCGTTATCAACAAAAAAACGATATAACTCAGGAAACAGAATAAGCCTTCCATCGAAGCTTTGAAGATTTTGTGAGAAATTCATCAAAATTAGCTGTAACCACATGTAAGAAAATAACTTCCAGCGACTATCTACACTGACAGGCGTGGTAGAATGTAAGCGGTTATGATTGAGATAGATTGGCGCGATAATAATAACTTCATACACTCAAGGGATGAGTCCGACATGTTTTAAGAAATCAACACTGTTGGTTTTAACGATTGCTTTACTACTACATGTACAAGGTTTGAACAATGACAAATTCTATAGCAGTTTTACACATTCGGAATCACATCCTCTTTTTCGGCCACTTGGCCATTTCACTCATATCCCATGTGGAAAATTACTCTAAGTTTACAATTTCGTACTTACATGTTTTCTTAGTTCATATACACAGCGTTAGGAGCGAGAAATCGTTCGATAATTATCAAAGTTAAACCAGCTGAGTCAATAAATAAACTTCCGCATCGTTCCAGATCAAACACACGTCCACGGTGGGAATATGGGTAAATTGAAGTGTGGGAACATTCAACTTTTTATCGAATTTAAATTATGAAATCTAGTAAAACATATATTTTAAATAAAAAATGATTTAAAAAATTGCAATTGTTGTGGGGTAACATAAAATGTATTTAAGTAACTAGCCTATTGCCGGTCTCTGTACGAAAGGGATTGCTCGGGACTCGGTCTTTGGTAAAGACAAGGATAATAACTCCAAATGAGACAAAATTTTTAATTTTTTAAAACTTCACTTTACGAGCCTTCCGTGTGTCGAATCATGCAGGATATCATTAAAATTATATTTTCGTCGTAGGTCAACTCATTGGAAAGAATTTTCAAGCACGGAGCCCACGGCAACCACATCGGTTGCAGTGGCCTAAAGCAGGCCCTGTCTTATAATGAAATCTGTCTTAACATAATTTCTTAGTAACGAGAAACTGGACTATTTTCATCATGATATATATCGTACTGGAAATACAGGATGTTGTATATTATAGATTTTGCATAAAATATGGATGATAAATATTTGAATTAAATGAGAAAAATTTGTTCGGAAATATTCTAATTTATTATTAATTTATTATTTTGTTATAAATCTGTTATTGAGCTGAGTACTTATCAAGGGCTTTATTTCAGCCATTGATGGGTAGGCGTCAGAAAATTGAGCTCAAGAGCTGAGTGATGTCGTGGGGAGCTATATCAGAATTAACCAGATGACTTAATTGGAACTAACTTGTAAATATGTGGACTGTCAAAATGTAATTCAACTGTCTTTCTCTAATATATTGCTCAAACAACGCAATATAACAATCTTATCGGATTGATATACGCTTTCGGTATAACCAGCGGGCTCCGTAAATAACGAGGTCCTTGCTTTAATTACTGGCTGGTATAGTCAGTAATAGCCTTTAAACTGTTATATATTTGGAATGAAATGACCGTGACTAAAATACGTCGAATGGTTGATTTACTATTGCATTAAACTTTCCATTTATAATACCGGAACACAGCGTTTCAGTCGTGATTACGCCATCACAGCCAAAACGAGGAGGGTTTTTCAAAATCTTATTGGATTTCTAGAATAATTGCGTTTGCATTGTAATTCCCTGATAAAACAACAGCTTAAAATGCCTATAAATTGTCGCTACGTGATCCATAATCCTAGACTACATGTTATAGTTGTTCTATTTAGTAGAACAAAATCTCTGTTGGATTATTATTTTTACAACCCATTATTTACCAATAGTAAGAGTAAACTAGGGCGCACCAAATAAAAAAGGTGTCATTCGCAAATACAGGTAATATAACTCAGCGGGAACGAATATACGTCGAACTTTTTCTCCGTGGCGACATGGGAATATAACAACACGCACTGACGCTGTAGTCGCTCAGTCGAAAAGCGAGAGACAGGGAGTGCGAGCCCGATTTGTCTGTCTAGTCATTGGTGTCTGTATCGGCAACTTTGAAAAAATTCGTATATATTATGTCGTATATCATATTCATTCCTCAAACCACAGAAGTTGAGAAATTCATTAGTGCAATGAGGGCACATAAAAGTTAGAAATAGCAAAATTAATATACAGAAAATACGAAGAGACTAAATATGCCGTTACAACTGATTTCTTTAAGTAAGATTCCTATGAAGTAATATTCTTTTAGTTATTGTTAAGATTACGAAGAAGTATTTTTTATTGTTGGTCATTTTTTAGGCGTAATGCTACTCATTTATTAACGAAAGTTTATCATACAATTCTATACAAATTTTACAAATAATGTATAGCCGAATGTAAATCTCATAAATTAAGTTTATCTTATATATAAGAATTTGTTGTGAATGCAGGTTTGGGTCAAGTTGATTGTTTTTGTCAACATGTGCAATACAATTAACTGTTTTGCACTCCAGACAAATTTAAAATTGATGCCATCAAAATCTTTTCATGCGGTTATTTTCTATGAAAGTTCGGCGTTGAATACAATTTTTAATTTGTTGGACAGGTGCTAAACTAGAATTAAAAAAAATGAAAACAAACAGCTTGAGTTATTTTTTTATTTAATGTGTTTAAATTAACATTTTCTCATTCAGTGTTTATTATTTTTCCAGTCTTTTCCATTGTAAATTACTTAACAATACGTTTGAATACAATCAGCAACCAAAATAATGAAAATATTTGGTTCGAGTCTCTTTCAAAGGCGAAGCGGGGAGACGTCAGCTTTGGGAGAATTCAATTTCCAGGTCACGCCGAGAAAAGATACGAGGCCCGCCCAACTTGAAGTTGATTGTTTCAAAAAGAAGAGAGAATTTTATGAAGAAAATTCATTTTCTAGAAAATCCATTCACAAAGTGAAACAAAATTTTAAGGGAAACTTCAAAAATCTGAAATATGAAAATGATTCCGATTACGGTTCAATGCCAAGAGAGCAAGAAAACGAAGTGAGTTACAACCCCGAAAAGTTACTATTTCATAAACCAGAGCAAATTTTTGATCTTATTCCCCTTAATCGTGACGTCACTCAGTACGAAGAAGACTTTTCTATTTTCCGCAATTATGAACGGGTCAAAGTTCAACTACACCCAGAAGAGGAATGGGCAAGAAATGCAAAGACGGTTTGGTGGACAATCAAATTTAGCAGGTAATGTATAATAACACTATTTGTTTTCATTTTTAACATTCTTCAATATCTATCAGCAAATTTAACTGCTCAATCGTTGAGGGACCATATATCACAATACAGAATGTATAAACGGAATAATCGGAACGCAATGTTTGTGCGAGTATTAATTAATTTCATTTTTGAAATAGCATCCAGCAAGTCAAATATATGTTGAACAAATTTTAGTAAAATATTAATTTTTGTTATTTCGATACTACTATTGAATGTCTTCATTGGAATTTGAATCACATCACGCGTTCGTACCAATATTATTGTTTTCATTTTGTTTCACCGAAATTATCGACAAATATTTACCCATTAAAAACTAGTGATTAAAATTTTTTTTTAATTTTTTTCAGGCTTTGGAAAAACATATGCATCGTTACCGAGAGCAGCATAGGAGGATCATTAGTATTTTCTACAGAAGCAAAATTATCATTTTGTCAGGATGACAACGTTAAAATAACAGGAACATTTAATCGGATAAAAAGTCCTGATTTCGAACTGACATTAACATCAAAACTGAGCGAAAATGATAATCGGCGGGGTTATGTTATGACTGGAAGTCTAAAGCAAGGGCTTGCAAAAGATGGAAAGCTGGAAACGACGCATTATGCTACGGTTATGGAAAACGATTTGACATAAAGAAGAGAATTATATAAATCAATAATAACCATATTTATTGAACTCTTATTCTACACATCCAATTAGGACAAGTTGTACTTAACTGCACCATGTCAACATTTTAAATATTATCAATGAATGCCGAGACAAATTTCAAGTTATGTTAAGAATGTAGGACATTATATTCTCGCCCAAATTATTTTCTCTAATTTACTTCACTTTGTTTAGTTTTTTTTTATTTATTCCAGTTTACTTTTTATTCTTCAAATATAAGTTCCTGATTTATTTGATATATGTTTCAAGTACAATGTCAGAAGATTTTTATTGATTTATGAAATAGCAAAAGGGGCTTGCTTATACATCACCTAATTTAATCTCACAAAAACTAAAAAAAAAATTTATGAGCATTACTCCCGGCTTTAACCAACATTGACTTAAGTCGGACAAAAGAGCAAAACAACGAAAGGAGCTGATGGGTAGAAAGCGAGAAGAGCCAGATAGCGCAATGCTTAGAATAATAAGTTGAATATAAGACAATTAATTAGGCCCTAATTCTGTTATATGAGGTGAGTCCCCAGATACACAAATCGGTTCATGAATACAGAAATGTGCATAAGTGTGTCCACAGAAACAAACAGATTTGAATAGTGATTGATTCCTCATGGTAATAAATAAGTATGCAGCGGCAAAAGTAAGTAGTCATTATTGATTTATATTGAGGAGTAGTTAAATAATTGTTCGTAACTATTTCGGCGTACGTTTTTGCTGAAGGCCAATAACGAACATGGGAATTGTATATAAACTTTGTCATCTGCCTTATTTAAAAGATTTCTAGAATATTACGCAGTTTCGAAGCGATATCATCATCAATTAGTAAACAATATGGGCAATGAATCAAGGCTATTTATGTTTAGTATTTTTAGTACAAGTAAAATTTAAAAAAGTAATTCAGTTTTTTGAAAGAAAAAAGAAAACATTAAAGCCCGAATGTTCTATTCACATTACAAAATAGTAGACGTAGTGGTATTTTACGGTTTATTAGACAACAATAGAAATAAAACAAATAATATTAAAAAGAGCTATTGTCAAATATATGGTCCCACAGGCTAAAACAATATATTTTACCCACAATTCCCATCAAAATCAGACAGAGTTGGTACTGTGAAGCACCGTAACTTACTGGTACCGGTGCCCGCACTGGTCCTAGCTTTACGGGGAATGCGGGTGACTTGAGCCACGAGGTGACTTGTTTCACCCCCGGGAATTAGCAACATGCTTTGGTGATAGGAGGCTCGCGCGCCATCTGTTAGTAGGTTGTGTCATAACTTGCTTGCAGTCAATAAAAAAATTGGAATCGCAGCAAAAAGTGGATTTAGTGGTTGGAGGTCAAATGTTTTCTCTTACTCATATTCAATCCCGTAAAGTGATCTGGCATTAGTTGAAGGGGCAGCAAAAGCGGCTATAAGAAGGCTGCAGTATTCGAGCCGCGGCGAGAGTATGTGATGTGGACCGGATGACACTCAAGCGATACATCGATAAAAAAAAAAAACACGACCCACATGGGACAAGCGGATACAAGAATGGCAAGTTGTAGAATATGATATTCGGTCCATAAATGGAAACTGAACTGGCTAGTCACATTAAAACACTATCGGAAAACTACCATGGACTATCCAAAGATAAATGCCGATGTTTGGTATACGAGTTTGCAGAGAGAAACGGTATTGTTGTACCAGAAAATTCAAAAACCTACAAAAAAAGCTGTTCGGGGGTTATGGCTTTAAATGAAAGCTCGCAATAACCTCGCGATTCGATGTCCATAAGCTACTGCGTTGGCCGGAGAAACGGCGTTTAGTCATCAGACAGTGGGACGGTTTCACAAAAAACCTTGTCAAAGAAATTCTTAGTTCATAAATCCAAATTAACAATGCTGATTACTACCATTCTACTCATCCCAACAAGATTTGTTTCATCTATCGTTTCATTACATTGCAAATGTCAAAATTTCATAGTTTGTGATGTTAATGTCTAACAATATCGAATAATTGCCGTATTTATTGAGTTCAGCAGTTGTGAATTGAAAAATTGCCAAATTCTGTTCGATATCAAATTGCCCACCATCAAACAACGTACAATAAGATACAAAGTATAATGAGGATTTTGATGCAAGTATGATATCCTCATCTTTTAGTCTTACAATAACGAAAATGACCTGTTAGTCCCAAAACGAACGCTATCTATGCCTGCTTTATATTCTCACAAGTTTTTTATTTTCAGATAAGTATGAACAAAAGGCTGTTTGATAAAATTAACTTAAACTAGTTGAAAATTTGCTAGTATTGAGATAGGTTATCAGACCGAAGCAAAATTAACTATGGTCGGCAATTTACTATAAAAGTTCAAACTATCTTTCAATTTAAACAAGATATTCAATTTACGTTATCTTATCTTGATCGTATGGACTTAAATAAATATAACTTGCTGGGCCTAACATAATCATTTAATTATATTTTGTCATAATACTTTCTACACAATCCGAAGAGAGGAACTATTAAAGTAAGTGCAGCAAAATCAACTCAAATCAATCCACAGAAGATCTTTTATCTATGGTAAGCTTTATTATGCATGAGACATTTTATAGCCTAATTGGAGCAATTACCTTTTCAACAAATATTTTTTCACAACGTAACTAATAACCCTTATTTTTCTTTACAGAGTTTGAAAGAATTATTGATTTTGAACGAACATGTCCATCCAAGACAAAACAAGTTGGATATTCCAAGAAACAAAAGATATGTCACACAAATTGATATTAATATTTCACGCAATTTTAGGAAAAGCATTCCAAACAAAGAGTGCTCAATGATCCAAGGAAAATACCCTTCAAGATTTCATCCCAATACGGACGAAATAGAATTTAAAGTATATTACAACAAAACACACACTAATAACTTTTCACAATACACTGGAGCTCAACTTAATATTCATTCACAAAGTAATAGATCAACCCGAAAAGGAAGAAGAGATTTGGCAAGTCCTCTTTCAACAACAGGTCGATCACTAAGAAGTAAAGTTCTACGAAAACAACACGGAATCCGATGTCAAAGCATGCTTTTAAAGTTGTGACTTTTCACAAATAATTGAAATATTTAAAAATCGTTTTTTTCAAGCCATTAAAGTGCAATAAGTTTATATTTTCAATATAATTTTTACTTTCAATTTTAAATACAAATTATTTCCCCATTTATACTATAATGTTTCAACGTTTATTCTATTTTCTTGCTTATTCAGCCAATAGCTGGATTTCATCCCATTAGAACAATAAAATTTCTATAAGCTCAATTAGTTTATTTATTTGTATCTTATATTAAATACTTCAACAAAACAGGTTGTACAGGTATGCAATCTGTCACAGAAGACTACCGCCACACGGTGCGCAATTTCTATTTTGAATGACGTCATCTACATAAAAAAAAAGAATCACTTATAGTACACAGACATTTTTGAAATATATAAAAGTAATAGCCTTGTAGCGAACAATACCATCTCAAAGCACTGAAAATCAGAAAGCAATTGATCTAGTAGGTAATGAATAAAGCGATATTTTATAAACAGAAATTAATAAACAGGAAAAGGAAAATGACATAGACTACAAAAACATCTTATTACCAAAGGAAGCTATATGTACACTTCGGATCCAATATAGAATGAACAAAATCATTTAAAAATTAAAAAAATATACATAAATGTGTTATTGTTTTCACATAGCTGCATTCTTATGTTCAGTCAGTAAATATAGTACGGTCGACCCTTTTTATTGCAATTCAAAAAATACAAATCTATTCTTTGATGAAAAATATATTACGTGATCTTTAGAGCAGTTATTATATATGGAAAATCCACTGATTGCAGAAAATCGGAACTGTAAATGAATGAATATGTTAGGCTTTAAGAATGTAACATCGAGCAACTCGATTCTCTCGTGCTTTTATTAGTTTCACATTTATGTATCAGAGCGGATGTCGAGTTTTGTACATGAGAAAAGTTTATATTTCATAAAGTTCACCAAAATCTTTTAAAAAATTAAAGACTTTAATTATTCCAGTATTACAACACTTGTTACCTTATATATAAATTCGTTTTGCACATAATACGTTATTATTGGGATGAAAAGGTCTATGTGAAAAAAATAACGAAAGATGAATTTGACTGAGTCGGACTTACAAACTTCAGGGCACGCTTTCAACTTTTGCCCAAATAGCAATGCTGATTACTACCATTCTACTCATCCCATCACCAAAAACAAGATTTGTTTCATCTATCGTTTCATTATATTGCGAATGTCAAAATTTGATAGTTTGTGATTTTGATAACTAACAAAATCGAATAATTGCCGAATTTGTCGGGTTCAGCAGTTGTGAATCAAAAAACTGCAAACTGCAAAATCACCAGCAAACCTCGTACAATGTTTTGAAAAATACAAAATACAATGGAACGTTCTCCGTTAGGCCAAAACAAACTAGGTAATTTCCTTTATCGACAGAGGGATTTTGATGCAAGAGTGATATCCTCATCTTTTATTAAGTCTTTATGATAACGGAAATGTCATGTTAGTCCTAAAACGAACGCTATCTATGCCTGTGTTATATTCTCACAAGTTCGTTATTTTCAGATATGTATGAACAAAAGGCTGTTCGATAAAATTTACATAAACTAATCGACAATTTGTCAGTATTAAGATAAGTTATCAGTATAAAAGAAAAAATAATTATGGTCGGCAATTTACTATGAATATTCGAATTATCTTCCAATTTAAACAAGATATTCAATAGCGTTATCTTATCTTGCTCATATGGACCTGCGTAAATATAACTTGCTGGGCCTAACATAATCATTTAACTATATTTCGTCATAACACTTTCTACACAATCTAAAGAGAGGAATTATTAAAGTATGTGCAGCAAAATCAACTCAAATCAATCCACAGAAGATATTTTATCTATGGTAAGCTTCATTATGCATGAGACATTTATAGCCTAATTGAAACAATTACCCTTTCAACAAATATTTTTTTACAACGTAACTAATAACCATTATTTTTCTTTACAGAGTTTAAAAGAATTATTGATTTTGAACGAGCATGTCAGTCCAAGACAAAACAAGTCGAATATTCCAAGAAATAAAAGATATCTCACACAAACTGATATTAATATTTCACGCAATTTCAGGAAAAGCATTCCAAACAAAAAATGCTCAATGATCCAAGAAATATACCGTTCAGGATTTGATCCA